GGGGGGGCGAAGAGAAACACGGTGTATATATAATAATTTTATTATAATGCTTAATAAAAGATTGAATAAAATTACTGATTTCAAATAAGCATGGTCGAAAATAATTTTTGCTGTTCCACATTTTTTTATTGCCATTATACATCATCACACTGAATAGTTTCTTTACAATGATCAGAGTTATGGAACCAATTGCTTATTAGAATTTCTAAAAGTTAACAGGCTTTAAAATTATCAATTTACATAGATTTTTGTAATAAAATGAATATTTTGCCCAGTTTACCGATTCTGCTTTCTCTTTTTTCATGTTTATGTCTTTTAATTATATTTTAGTTTTGCTATAACTTTAATCTTTAAGAAATTATGAAATGTAATCTATATTTTTCTTTTAAAAATGGAACAAATCAGTAAAAACAATTCCAATACCGTGCACATGACTCTGAACATATTTTATGGGTTTGTTTTCTGTAGGGTCTTGCCTTTGTGTTTACAGTTTGAATGCTAGCAGTTGTATACACGGATCCAAAGCTTCTGAACTTTGTCCCACCCTACCAGTGCCACCAAGGTAAGAACAACCGTGAGTGTTATTTATATAGAATGAAACACATTCAGTTCACTAGTTTTGCATTGAAAAGGTGCCCTTTTTCAGAATAAAACTCAGTAGTTTCAAGGAAGGTATGTTTAAAATGTTCTGCATATTCTAAGCACTCTACAGGTAGTCCTTGACTCCCAATGGCACTTGTGACTGGAATTTCTATCTCTAAGTAATGTAGTTGTAATTACATTGCTTAGCGATAGCAACCTCTGCAGTCCACTTGCCATCATTCCCTGAATTCCACAATTGTTAGACTAAACAACTTATTACCAGTGTTCTGAACCGGTTCCCAAAAATGACAGACCGTCTGTAGTTAAATAAATGTTCCCTTTATTAGGAGCACCAGCAGCCCTAACAAAAAGTCTCTCTCTCCCTCATAACAGGCTAACAAGTATGTCCGATAGGGAGATGAATAATTGTCTGCCAGACCTATTCATCTCCTCCTCCTGCTTTTTATCCCCAGAGCTAGAGTGGGGCTTCGCTAGTAGCGGTAGCTCTTCCGTCCCATAGACTTCCACTGCTCTCCTCTCCTCTGCCTTCTGCGCATCCCTGCGTCAGGCACTGGACCCAGCTGTTCCTCCTCTTCCTCATCAGCCATCTCCAGACCTGGGGCTGTTGACTCTCCCTCTGAGGGCTGATGGACGGCCCAGGCTCTGCCTCCATCTCTATTTCTGACAGTTCCATTCCCTCTTTTCCCATGGAGCTCTCAGATGGCCTTGATGCTGGCCCTGACTCCCATGCCACCGCTTCATCTGATTCGGCTGCTGAAGGGACCAGCAGCTGACAGGCCACAACAGTTGTGTTAACAGAGGGATACAATCAAGATCAAGGGAGCCACTAATACCACTCTATAAAGCCTTAGTAAGACCACACCTAGAGTACTGCATCTGGTTTTGTCCACCACATTATAAAAAGGATGTTGAGACTATAGAAAGAGTGCAGAGAAGAGCAACCAGGATGATTAGGGGACTGGAGACTAAAACATACGAAGAAAGGTTACAGGAACTGGGCATGGCTAGTCTAGTGAAGAGAAGGACCAGGGGAGACATGATAGCAGTCTTCCAATATTTGAGGGGCCGCCACAGAGAGGAAGGGGTCAAGCTATTTTCTAAAGTGCCTGTAGGCCCGACAAGGAATAATGGATGGAAACTGAACGAGGAGAGATTTAATCTGGAAATAAGGAGCAACTTTCTGACAGTGAGGACAATCAACCAGTGGAACAGCTTGCCCTCGGAAGTTGTGGGAGCGCCATCACTTGAGACTTTCAAGAAGAGATTGGACTGCCATTTGTCAGAAATGGTGTAGGGTCTCCTGCTTAGGCAGGGAGTTGGACTAGATGACCTACAAGGTCCCTTCTAATTCTGATTATCTGTTAATCTGTTAAGCCAGCTTCCCACAATCAGTGAGAAAGCCAGCAGGAAGTTGCAAGTCCCAGGCTCTCAGGCAATAAGTGGCTGCTACCAGGTGGGGGAGGATGTGAGAAGGGGTGCAGTGGAGGATTGGGGAGGGTACATGAGGGGCTGTGCACAGTATGGGGAAAGTGCATATGAAGGTGTGAGGGCGTGTGTGACTTTCATTCGAGTGTGTTCACTTTTTAACTATTATATATATATATATATATATTGTCCCAGTGTGTCTTTTCCGGTGTTTAATCGATGTGTTCCACGGAACCTCAAATGCTATTCCAATTTCGCACCTGTATTAATAGATGTGGTAAATGAGGAGGATATCTTTCATCGTATTCTGGGTGGGCTTATGGCAGGAAGAGATACAGTAATGGGACTATGCATCTTTTCATTAGGTAAGTTGAGTCTCAGTTTATTTCACGTAAATGTTATTTATATTTATCTTTTAAAATGTTATTAGTGCATTACAAGACATATGCAACTTTGCTCTGTTATTTATCTTCAAACAAACAAAGGCAAAATTACCCATGAAGACACAATTTTATTACTCATTGAAATATATTACTGAAATGTAGAATGGAGAATTTTTCAACTAAATATATATATTTAACTGAAAAATTCTCCATTCTACATTTCAGTAATGTATTTCAATGAGTAATAAAATTGTGTAATTCAGTTTTTACAAAGAGGAAAATAATTCTGAATATAAATGCAATGAAAATGAAAGAACAACATAAGAAAAATGGAAACTTGATCCATTAAAAATAAACAATAATAATAATAGAACCTAAATAAAAATATGGTACTGAATTGGAAGAGAAATTGCATTAATTTCTGTCTCAAAGTGATAAGACCTGCATGAAGATATATAGAATTTATTGTTAAAAGGCAATGCACGTGCATAGTAAGGCTGCCATTAGATACTGTAATGTTTGGCAATTAAATTGGCAAGGAATGCAATTTTCATCCTTAGGTTCAAAGAAATTTTCCTTGTACTCCACTTAATTAGCTTGTTAAAATAAGCAATCTATTCCATTGTTTTCATTGCAGTTTTGTCTGCCCTAATGATGTTAGCCTTCAGATGCATCAATATGCTCGTGGTCCATATTTTTCTTACAATATTTGTATTTGGATTATTATGTAAGTATAATTATAATTTAATTTACAATTTAGCAAAACTGAACGTTCATGCTAAATTATTTCACCAGCTGTACATTAACATGAGGGCTTTTCACTTCTTTTTATCCTGATGAAAATCTCCCATACCCTGAAAACCATAAGTCAGAAATCTTACAATGTAAAGAGCTACTTGCAGAAAAAAAAATAACATTCATGGTTCTTTCTATGTTTCATTTTAAAACCACTAATAAATAAAGTGATTTACTGAAGAAATAGATCTGATTCTCCTGACATCTAGTTTACTAGCAAATGAAAAATAATTTCAGTAGGATTCATGGGTTAATACTCAAACATGTACTTTGAATATTAAAGTCTCTGGCATCTGAAGGGACTCAGAAGGACAAGAACATTTTGTCTTAGATCTTGGAGAACTCTTGTTCTCTTCTTAATTATTTGATCAGGCATTCCTGACTCTTTTGAACATGTTTAACATAAATGTTTTTAGAGAGCTGGTGGTGATGAAGAGAATTAGCAAAAAATACCTGTATTCCAAAAGACAAGTATATTGAGCCACGGTGGTGCAACGGTTAGAGTGCAGTACTGCAGGCTACTTCTGTTGCCTGCTGGCTACCTGCAATTTGGCAGTTCAAATCTCACCAGGCTCAAGGTTGACTCGGCTTTCCATCCTTCCGAGGTTGGTAAAATGATCCCAAATTATTGGGGGCAATATGCTGACTCTGTAAATTGCTTAGAGAGGGCACTGTAAAGCGGTATATAAATCTTAAGTGCTATTGCTATATTTGGAAAGAAAAATAAATTAACCAATAACGTGCAAAAGTGGAATTAAGTTCTAAATACCAAGCTATTTATTTCATTTTTTTATTTATATACATTTATTTTACAAAAAAAAAAAAGAAAATTAAAGGTCTTCTAGTCAAACCCCCCGCTCCACCATTCAAGACAAGTGATTGTCCTATCTCTTAGAATGCAGGATAAGACAAGTCTTGGGCTATCAATGTGGATAAATTGCCCTGTTCTGTGAAATAAAATGGAGGGGGGTGGAATGGAACCTCTCCCTTATTGCTAAATTGTGGAGTAATAGATCAGCTTTATCAGCATCAGAGGTGGTATTCAGCAGGTTCTGATGAGTTCTGAAGAACTGGTAGCAGAAATTTTGAGTAGTTCAAAGAACTGTCAAATATCACCCCTGACTGGAGATTTTACAGTATCCTTCCCCTGCCACGCCCACCAAGCCATGCCCACAGAACCGGTAATAAAATAAATTGAATCCCACCACTGATCAGCATCCAAAAAACATGCTACATTAGCAAGAACCTGAAATCTTACCTAACTCTACCACATATTACAGTAAGAATTGTAGGAAACTGAGGAAAATGGTTTTACAGAAACTCTCATGAGCTTTGCAAGTTTTCTTGTGCAGATATTCAGTTCCACACAGTTTAAACAGAGGAAGTGATTTTCTGCCTATAGTTTCCTCTCAAAAAAATTGTTTTCGATTTCCATTTAAACCAGTTAGTGATTCTTCCTGCCATCTTTCCAACAATCTTTGTACCACTCAAGAATGATCTGTAACCGGTATTATTTATTATTAAACTTGCATGCTGTCCATCTCGCCAAAGGTGACTCTAGGTAGCTTACAAGCATTTTTTAAAATGCTCTATAAAATATTAAATAAACTATATAAAGAGCTTAAATTTAAAAATGCAATTAAAATAAAATTAAGCAGGATGGAGAGAGAGAGAGAGGGAGCAAAGTGTTCACAGGGAAGAGGGGTTGCTATCTACTCCACTAGCCACCTCCAAAGTGCCACACACCGACTGGGGCTCCAGGCTAGTTGGCACAACCAGGTGCTCTAGGTCTTTAAAAAGGCCAAAAGGATAGGAGTAGATCTGACTTTGTGGGGCAAGATGTTCCAAAGGGCAGGAGCCATGGCAGAAAAGCCTCTTCTGGCTAAAATTCTTTGGCTGAAGATTTTTTAAGGAGATGCAAACCCATGTGTTCATTTATACCCAAAGAACCTAGTTACAATCAAACATCCTTAGCAGGTAGTTGGAGTAGAAGTTGATATGCATCAATATTATTGTCTCACAAAAATGCAAACTAGAGTAAAATTTCAGTTTGTTATACCCTTTTTGTACCAACCTTAATTGTTTAGTCTCTTTGGAACCGCAGTTGAATCATGCTGAGTAAACGCTTGATGATAAGCTTAATATGCCAGTGCTGCTCTTTTATCTTTTATATTAAATAAACATGCCTCGATTTTTCTGTTTGTTCTAGTTGTCTCAGGTGTTATGTGGTGGCTTTATTACAATAATAGCAGCGGGCCCAGCATAGAATTAGAAACTGAAAAAGAAAATATGAAATTATTATATGGACTTTCTATTATATCTACAGTTATTGCGGTAAGGCATCTATGTATATTATAACTAATATTCTATGGATACTTTATTCAATATAGCTGGGATAGGACTTCATCAGAAATATTTGCTAAACTGAAAGCCTACAGTTAATTTCTTGTTTTTAATTGCTTCTATCGATTAAATTGCTTCTAGTAGGTATATACAATCTGTAAAAAGCCAGTGTTCGTGCAACTGAACATACACAAATCGGCATTTGCTGCAGGTGAATTATCCTTCCTCTATTTGGTTATAATGTAGAAACATGTACCTTCTATCTTCTATCTGTTGCTCAGTAGTGAATGCTAGGAAAGATGGTGCTCTATTATTACCTTGGATCCTGCTGTGAATACCCGATCCACACCTAAGGCAGGGCTATCAAACTCATGGCCTGTGGGCAAGATGTGTCACGCGCTGCCCATGCCCAGTTTAGCGAAGGGGAGAAAAGTCCAACTATATCACATGACGCCACCGTGAGGATGCGAGTTTGACACCCCTGACTTAAGGTGTTGCTGTTTTAAGTCATAAACACATCTCATGTACATCAATCTGAAACTTTTCAAATTATATTTGATTGACACATTTGTTTTTCACTATACCCTTCTTATATTAATTGCTGCTAAGATTTTATTTAATTATTTAAGAGGACTGATACATGAAAAGTAATAGCATCAGTCATAATATCCAAATAAGTCAGATTTCAGGGATGCCTGGATGTGGCTTATTTTTTATTTTGAATTAATCTATAATTTTCAGAATCTTTAGGGAAGACAGAAGATCCAGTTGGTCAGTAATGGAACTTAATGTAAAATATTCTGTACACGACTGACTCAAACCTACAATGGAATAGGACATAAGCTGTAGAGAGAGAAAGCATACAGCTGCTGCACTTGTGGATTGTCCCAATGTGAATTAGGCTTTTGTGTCCGTCATCAGATTCAATTAATAGAGATTTGTGGGCCCCAAGCGTCAGCAGTAGCAATGTTTTTGCCTCATTAACCACTATACCCAGTTTCTGGCACAAGGAGGCAGCAGATATATCAAGGAAGACAGCTTCATTAACAATACACAAAATATTTTGTGTTATATTTTGAATAAACGTTTTACTTAACATTTTTAGCACTGGACTGTTAAGATAAAGATCTTTCAGTGTATGAAAAGAGACAGATCAAACAAACTGCACCTCATTTTTAATCATACATATGGCTGGTCTTTATGTTATTGCATTTTCCTGCTGTATAATTGTAGCTGCTTATATTTAGATCAGTAAGAAAACTTAAAAAAAGAAGTATCTAACAAAAACATACTCATTTGTTGAAGTTATGTTTGAGCCTTTTCTACATAGAATCTGTGGTTTTCACAGTGTATCTTCTACACCTTTTCTTGGGCAGAATTGTGATGCAAAACAGTGATTATGGTATTGAAATTTTTATTTCTGTGTTGGTGCATGGATAATGTAAATTTGTAAGACTACCTGTGTCAAAATTATTTGGTTAGTGGACAAATGAAAAATTATGTGCAGTTACTAGACTGGATTCTCATTTTGTTAATACCAAACATTCTAATGCATTATTTTTCTTTTTATAGGTGATCCTAATTGTCCTGATAGTGTTATTAAAGAAGAAGATTCACTTAATTCTTCAGCTCTTTCACGCTGCCAATAAAATAATTGGCAAAGCCCCCTTTTTGTATTTTCAGCCTATTTGGACGTTTGTAATACTTATTTTATTCTGGGTGTATTGGGTGGCTGTGCTACTTAGCTTAGGAACTGCAGGTCAGTAATGTTACATTGATTCTCTTTGCTACATAAATATATCATTTTTCGCTGATGATCAGAAGTTATTAAAATTGTCCCAAGGCTTGTAAATACATTTGTGCATGAGTGGTACACAAGCTATTTTGTTTTCTAGAATTGCAAAATATTGTGGATCTAGAACCAATCAAGCTAGACCCTACATTGATTATTGTCTGATTATCATAGATTGGCTTAACTTGTCATTTTATGAACAATATATCCTAGCCCTGTGTATTTACTTATCTTGTTATTTGACCTTAAGATAGAAAACAGCATTTCCTACAAAAAGAAAAAATATCCAATTTCTCTTAGTTGCACTTAAAGAAGCTTGGATGGTTATGGTCTTGAGTCAAGATAGTAAAATTGGTAAACCCATACTTCTTCAAAATGTATAGTATTGCTTGAATCAAGAATAATTTTAATTATATGATTTAATATAGTTGCTAAGGCAGTGGTTTTTTTTGTCTATACTATGGAAATAAAGGAGAGGGTTAGAAGTCCACCGATCATATATAAATAAGGATTAGTATGAATACAATTGTATGTGAATACAATATCAATGCAAAAATTAGCAGTCAGCCAACCAGTTGCCTCTTTAGTGTGAAGGAACAATTATTTCTTAATTTTGTTAATATTTGCAAAATGTTAGAATGAAAAAGTAATTGAAAAACTATTCAGTTGATGTAGATATATCCCCAAATTTCCCAAATTAAAAAAAAACACATTGAGGGATAAAGTCACAATGATGCTCTTCTGTTATCAAAACTTTGCAGTTTAACAGATATGCCTATTAGTATTGTTTCTGCTATATGAAGTTTTCCTCATTTTCCCCAGCTTCCTCTGTTAAAATTATATTGTGTGAAATAGAACTTAATATATCCATTGAGATTGGTTTTATATGCTGTGTCCCTCTCTAAAAGGAATGCCAATGCTAGGATTCAAATACAAAATAAGTATAAACACGCCCCTTATATTAATACATAAATTTAAATAATAAAACCATTCTGCAAGAATAAAAGCCACGAGGGAAATTATTTGTTGATATTTTAAAATGACTCTAGAATTGGATTGAAGTGAAGCATTATAATTAATTGTATTACAATCTAGGAGTTACTAACATAACGAAAACAGGGTGATTTGTAAAATAACATGGATATTTTCCATATTACAGTGAAACCTATATCCGTGTAGGTGTCTCTGGCAGATACCATTCTCCTGGGGAGAAAAATTGTGGACTTTGATCCACAATGCTAGTCATTTAGTAGGATATGAGCCTTATCTTCAAGTGACCTTGCTCTGGTGGATTCCAAATCTAATTATGATGCTGGTTTAGGTTTCAGGATTCAAGTAGTTCTGGACTCGATGCCACAATCCTAATGGATGTGGCTTGCTCCTCCTTGTATAAGAATCTAAGCCAAACCATTGCTTGAAGTAGGGGTCCTGAAATCTAACATTAAATGCTGCTCTTTATGTTCTACCACTTAAACCAATAGTTAGTAGATACTTTAAAATGTCTTTATAACACTTTATTGTGTTCTGTCACTTTAATATGGAAATACAAATTAGTAGATGTGTGTGACTGAAAAAAAAATTGGCATTATCAATGGTCATGTGCAGATTTTCTTTAGCTGACCTAGCTAATGTGTTGTTAGGTTACAAGGAAACACTTTCTATAACCTTGAAAAGACAGCTAGCTTGCCTTTATATGTAGGAGTGTGATTTGAAGGTCACATATTTCCTAGACAATGTGCTTCACTTAGAATACTTATAAAGTCTTTTCTCTTTCAGTCCCTGCCCAGCCCTCCATTTAGAAGCAGTTAGAAGTTCTAATTCATTATGGACATGTTAATGTCTGAAATTGATAGAACGGTAACAGCCATTAGACCTGTTAGAAAGTTTCCTTGTTTGCTTTGCATTTTTTCCCCAGGGTAAGATATTCAGAAAAAAAAAGAAGTACAACATGAATACGTTACCCTTTTCTCTGTATGTATGTATTTTCTAGTATAGATGCAGATTCTTGTCTGCTTTTGAAATCTTTTTAATTTTATAAATCTTTGTTTTCTCTCCAGGAATGTTGATCTTTATGTTAGCTATACTTAATATAGCTTAGTTTTGTTATAATTAATAAAGGCAGTCCTTATTTAATGACTGTTTTGTTTAGCAACTATTCGCAATTATTATGGTAATGAAAAAGTAACTAATGAATCCTGATATTTATGACTTTTGCTGGTCTGTAAAGCAAAGCAAAATTTAGATCATAGGCATGGTTGCTGCTTCACTTAGTGACCACTTCACCTAATAATGGAGTTGCCAGTCACAACTGTAATTGTTATACAAGGACTACTTGTATATACAAAGCTGTTTCAGTTTTAAAAGTTTAAAGTTGTGATGTAACTTAAAACGTTTTGGAGCTGCACTTTGTTCCTTGTTTTTAGTCTGTCTAGTTTTTATTTTTTTAGCATAAACATCTTAGTCTGACGTTTATCTTTTTATACATTTTTATTGTCTTAATTTTTTTATCTATAATTGGTTTTAAATATTTTCATTATAAATTGTTTCTAAAACACAATAAAAAAGAAGTTGAATAATTAATAATTAATACCAGTATAAAATGTAAAGACTGATATATATATGTCAAAGCAAGTCCACCACGTTCAAGAATGTTTATTTTCAGTAAAAAAAAAAAGTCCACCACGTTTTAAAATGTTTATTTTCAGTAAAAAAAAAAATTAAAAAAAACAACGTTGAATAACAGCTGGATAAACTAAAAAAGGACAGTAGAAGAATATTGATTTCTATTCTTTGTGCCTTAAATTTATAGGCAGTGCGCAAGTCATTTCAGGAGGACAAGTGAAATACAAAATTCGATTTGGAATCCGCTACATGTGGTGGTATCATTTACTAGGGCTTATCTGGACAAGTGAATTTATTCTTGCATGTCAGCAAATGACTGTGGCTGGAACTATAGTTACTTGCTTCTTCAACCGGTATGTACGACTTACAATCTAATTGCCAAAACCTTGTTTCTAAGCTTACTTTTACTGTATTTTTAAGTGATTAGGGGGGAAAAAATCAAAAAAGACCTGTAAGCATATATAAACAAGCCCTCTGGAAGTCATTGGATTCCTTTATAAACAGTATAAACAGGATTATATAATTACTGAGGAATGTGATGAGAGCAGTTGATCTTTATTGGCTGATGTTCTATTCTGTGAACTAAGTGGCTTTCTTTAAAATCTTGCTTGTCTCATTAATTCAGTGGCTGCATTCATGCCTAACACAATCTATAATTTAGTAGAGCATCAACAGAATTCAGACTTCTGGACTTTCCCACACTACTTCTGCTATTCTGGCATAACTTTGGGGAAAAGATGAGAAACATTTGCTGTTTTCAACTAATAGCAGTTGCTCATTGGATACAAACTAGAGCGGGCTTTAAATTAATGGTTTGTTTATATCCAGAAAGCTTAAATCACACTTTGTAATCCAAGGTTTTTATCAAAACCATAGTTAAACAATTGCAGATTGTGTTTTATGTGCATTTTATTACAAAAAATTTAAAAGAATATAAAACTAACAAACTGATACAGGATAAGAAGAAGAGAGAGAGGAAGAAAAAACAAAAGTACAGAAGGTATGAGGAAGCTTCTTATTTCCTCTGCTGTCTGGTTACCAAAAAAGCTCACTTTTTTCTTTTACCCATTTTTTCTAATCAAACAACAAATCATAAGTATATTCTTTTCTGTTTTCTGCAAAAAAGTCTATAAAGGGATTTTAGTCAACCATAGATACTGTTTTTGGCTTCAATTATACTTTAAAATCTTTTGAATTAATTATTATTTATATCTCAAAGTTTTTCAGCTTTTTTTACATGTCCCCCCCAAATGATAAAATGTCACTTCACATTGTTCACATTTCTAGCAAAGATCTGAAATACCTTTACACATTCTAGATAATTTTTGTGGTGAAAAATGCCAACCATAAATCGTTTTATAAAAAAATTCTTTAGGATTAGAGAATAATGTAAATCAGTCCTTTCAACAACCTATTTTCGGATTGATCCATTTATATATATTAACCAAAACTTTTAATCAATTTTATCATATGTTCTTTTACTTGTTCTTCTGTCGTGTATTTCAATAAAAGTTTATTGAATTTTAGCAATAACATCTTAATCATTAATATATAGTTCTGTTTCAGACTGTCAAACAATAAAATCTTTTATCCACTTCAGAATTTTCTGATAATTGTATGTAAGAAGACCATTGATAAGTAATATTTTTATTGTCAAATCTTCTATGAGTGTATTTTACACTTTATTTGAGAAAATTCTAGCATGCTAAATTAATAGTTCATGTTTACTTATCATTTCTCATCTTAAAATAATTGCATATTGTTTTCAAACATAACATAAGAGTTAGAAGAAAACCAAAGTGGATGCTTTTAACTTACAGGTGAGAAATCAGACTCATAAATGATACTAAGCAGTTATTTAAAATTAAGTCAATCAAGCTTGCTGTTTCATTTTGAAATAATAATACTTAACTAATCTATAAAATTTGTTGGATTAGGGTGATGTTGAATGGTTCACACATAACATTAAATCAGTATTTACTTTTTGACCATGGCTTTTTGAATAGGCCATAGTAGCTTGGTTCACATTAAGCCAAAAAAAAAAAAATCAAACATATTACAACTTAATATTAAGCATGAACCAGGTCACTGAATGCACAGTACATTTAATCTCTTAAAAGAGCTATGTAAAAGTTTTTTTAAAAAATCAACCTAAATTATTTCTAATGGTCTGTTTAATGTACAATAAGTTGCTTGTTTTTTAGCATGTGTATTATATGTGTGTATATGTATTAGAGAGAGAATGTGGGTGATAAGGCTCTGTTTTCTAGAAATTCTATCAAAAAGGAAGAAGGAAATCAGTGCCTCTGGCATCAATTAAACTGCAATCTAAGCAACAGTTTATTGAATTTCAGCCTGGAAGAAATGATACAGTTCTCCACTTACAACCATTCATTTAGTGACTGTTTGAAGTTACAGGGGCACTGAAAAAAGTGGTTTATGATCATTTTTAACATGACTATTACAGCATCCCCATAAGTCACATGATCAAAATAAAGATACTTGGCAACTGGTATATATTTATGATGGTTGCAGTTTCCCTGGGTCAGGTGATTACTTTTTGCCACCTTCTGACAAACAAAATCAATGGGGAAGCCAGATTCACTCAATAACCATGATACTAACTTGTCAGCTGCACTGATTCACTTAACTGTGGCAAGAAATGTTGTAAAATGGCAAGATTAATTTAACAACTGTCTTGTTTAGCAAAATAAATTTTGGGCCCAGTTCAGAAGAATTTATCAGAGAGCAGTCCCTTTTTTTCATTAAATATTGTAAATACTGAAACATTCTGTATTCTCAAAGGTTTCACAGTTCCCTGTTGTTTTCACGAAACTGAGATTATCCACAATTAGAACTGGAATTCTGATTTTTATGTTTTACTATTTGATTAATAGCATGATGTGCTTTAAGTTGTGTTAATAGGTTTAGGTTTGCTCCTGTGTTTCTCATCCTCTTGCATAGGTATAAACATTTTTGTGTTTTTTAATTAACCTGCCTGGCTTACGTAGAATGGTTCGTCTATAGCAGGGGTTCCCAACCTGGGGTGCTCGCACCCCCTGGGGGTGCGAGACGATATTCCAGGGCGTGCGAGAAAAGTCCAGGTAAATAATAGGATATTGGCTATATGTTGGCATTTTTATTTATTATTTATTTCAGGGGTGCGAGGTTCGAGTGAAATTTCTTTAGGGGTGCGGGGCGAAAAAAAGGTTGGGAACCACAGGGAGCTGATCTGTTGGATTATGAACACTAGTTTCATTTGGCAGGTGTTTCTGTCTTACATGACTCAATAGTTCATTGGTACCCAGAGTGGGAATCACCCATCAATCTCAGGATTGCAAACTAAGCTTGGAAAGTTTGGAAAAGATGGAAAAGAGGACTCTAGTAAATTATTGCTGCTATTTGTCTGTTGTGCAAAATGCCGTAGGGGTTGAGCCCATGTATTACAGAATCACTACTTCATAAGGTTTCAGTTCAGTTCCAGTTCTATTTATAGTAGGGATGCCTCACCCCTTTTGGATATGAAGGATTTTGGTTAAATTCTTTCTCTTTCCTAATTTTCATAAAATGTCAACATGGTGTGATTACTTTACTTCAGTAGCTTGGTGAGCAGAAAGAAGGAATTCACACTAATTATATCCAGTGATGCGTAATATTTTTATTTTGTTTTGCTATAAAATATGTAATTTAGATTTGTATTCAGTTTGCAAAGAAATGTAAATATTATGTCTTTGGTCTGAAAAACAGTTTTGCTTTTCAGACACATTCTTTATAGAACATAACTAAGGATTCTGAGCATCTACACAGGACAAATACTGCGTAAGATACTTTGAGAATACACAGAATTATAGCAATTTTTTCATAAAACATTAATTTTTAACACTGCATCCTATTATCAACCTTTTAACCAGAATGCATAGGATAAATAATTTTGGACTAGTTTAGTTCCAGAAAGAAATGTTGATTTGACCAATATTTCCTCTGATGAATACCCATTTTTGCCATAAGTTTGACTCTCTTTCAAATATGATTACACCATGTCAGAACTAAACTTGACACTCTTAATATCACTGATAATTGTAAAAGTTACACAATAGGCGTTTGAATTGAAAACCTTACACTTCCAGATGGAAATGTGCAGTCCCCCTGGTGTTGATCTCTCTTCCTATTATTTGCTTTGTCAGCATGTTGAAAATGAGATAAATCGATACAGTAGAACAATGTTATAAATATAGAAAAGAAAAACAACAGTGTTTTTCACATACTTTGTGGGAGGGATGTGAACAAGAGCTTTGTTTATCACCGTCTGTCTAAAGCTTTCCTTTTTAGCTAGTAAGCAATTACAGGAAACTGGAGAGACTTTAGTTTTGCAAATCTGCTTCCTTACTACTCAGTCCATTAGGCGCACTGCTGTCTTCTCCTCAGCAGAATTAAACTGGGGTGGGTTGTGAGTTGTTTCAGCTGGATTACCTATTGCAGGAGACATCTGTTTGACCTAAAACAATAAAAATGAAACATGCTTTGCTTTCTTTTATTTTTGATGAAAGATGCATTCCTTAGAAACTGTAATGAAAATGAGGGGTTCAGATAATAGCATGCTATATGGTTTGTGCAAATAGGCTCTGCATTTTCAAATATATAGCTAGAATTTTAGCTTAATGGATAATGCATTTTTGGAAACTTGATTGGCAAAATACTTCAATAAACATGCACTGAGATCCCAACTCAGCCATGATATTCATTGATTCTCATTGGGTGGAATATTTTTTATCCTCTATCGCTGTTTCTAAAATTTGAATAATATTCTTCCCAGTATTATTTTGTAGCAAAAACATTGCTTGATTGTTAAGGATCTCTCCTACTAAAATCAGTAGTAGGAATACTGGAAGCTAGCTTTAAATTTGTAAAGCTGCTATGCTGTGGGATTAAGTACCTCTCAGATTTAAACAGATAAAGAGCAAATGTTTAAAAATCATAACAGCAAGAACAATAGAGCACATATAAGGGTAGTTATGCCATATCAATCATGAAGGCAGCATAGGAAAATGTTGCTTAAGACAGCCCAGGAGTATTTTCTCATAGTGGTGTTTCCTTCAATCCCTCTGAAATGTCATACAATATTTACATGATTGCATTACTAGTAACACCATGAGAATTGCTCTAGTTTCTAGCCTCAGCATATTATATGACCTTGAATCAGTAATGCTGGAAAAGATTATATGTGTTAGTAGACCAGCTGATGGCATTCTTTAAATCCTATTACTTTGCTAAGGATTGGGTGCTTTAAACCTTTTGTATATTTGGCTTGATTTTAGATACAAAGAAGAATATCAGGTTTTTTCCCCATTTTTCCTTGCCAAGAAAGAGGCAAGGCAATTATTAGTTAGAATCACTTAAAGAATTTCTAGACCTTTTCCTGGACATTTCAGAACATACGGTTTGTGCATATCAATTATCTAATCTTACAAGTAAAAGGTAATCAAGCAAAGACAGTTTATTATTTTAATGTCGGAAGAAATTAACTACTAATGGATGCGTAATCCCTCTTATATATGAAATATTGTACACTGGGTTTCTGTACTAATTTAACTATGAAATAACAATATCTTCAAATACATGAAGTTTCAAATGTAAGTGCTTATTAGGAGGCATTTTGAATTAAAACCCTTTGAAATCTGTTAATAATTATTTTATACAAAAATCCAGTCATTATCCCTAAATAGTCTTTTAGGCTGAATAACTAAAATATATACGTATCACTTTTATGGTATTTCCTATTGAAAATACTGAAACACAGGAAAGCAGTATAGCCATTTAGCTGTAGTGTAGCAGAAATTTTTGTGGGTCCTTGGGAATTTATGTTAGAACAGGCATTTTAATCGATGTTCTTTTGTCCCGGCAAAACAAGCTTTCTTGAATCAAGTTTAGTTTACTTCACTATCTTGTAGTATTCAATATTGGCTAAGTAGGAGTGTGCTTAATTCTAAATTCTATTTTTCTTTATTTAATTTGTTCCTCTTTTACCATTTTTATTTTTTTTAAAGGCTCAAAGTTTTTGCAAGCAGCAGGCGAGCGTGTTACTTCATTTGTGCATGCACAGGATTAGGTTGCATGCACAATTCCATCCCTGCCCTTGCTGCCAGTCCGTGGAGCCAGAAAGGTTGGGGATCACTGCTTTATAGCACTCTTAAGCAGTTCACAGAGTCAGCATATTGCCCCCAATGATCTGGCTCCTCATTTTACCAACCTCAGAAGGATGGAAGGCTGAGTCAACCTTGAGCCGGTCAGGATCAAACACCTGGCTATGGGCAGAGTCACCTTGCAATACTGCATTCTAACCACTACACCATCATGGCTCATCTTGCTGCTATCTTTGCTTTCTTTTGCCACAATCAGTCTATTTCTATTTGCAGCCTTTGTATTTTGTGATTTTCTTCCGTTTTTTTCTCTTCTGTTTTGCTGTTTCCAGGTTGATACCATGTCTACTATCCAGACATTTTTGTCATTCTTCTCAACAGTTGTTAAGTCTAGGGTACTATGTGGCAGGTGCTGCCTGTTTGAATTCTAAAGTCCCAGAACATTTCATTTTCTATTACTCTATTTTCTGATGTATTTGGAACAATCTAATGTATTTTCTTTTGTAAGTAGAGCCAGTCAACATCATTGCAAGGATGAAGGTTTCCTTGTCTTTATTTTTCTGGTCGTCTTATCCATTATTAAATTTATTTGCTGCCCATCTTGGTATTCAAGGTGAGTCTGAGCAGCTAATATTTCTTCCTTCTCCTATTTTTCACACAACAATAACCCTGTGGAGTAAGTTGGACTGAGAGGGGGTGACATGGTTCACAAAGCTATCTAGCTGGCTTTCATGGCTAAGGTGAGATTACTTAGTGGAAATTACTGAGTGGAAATTACACTAGTTGGCATTTTCTCTCTTGGCTTGGCTGTTGCTGTTTGCACATGGCTACTTTCTCTTCTTTTCAGACCTACCATGAATGTTGTCTGTAAAGAGTAGATCTGTCCCATGATAATTTGTGTGGAAACAGTAAATCTTCAACAGCTAGTATTGTCTAGCTTCATCTTAGTTTGTTAGCTATTAATCCTCCACCGCTCCTGCTTTCTCCTATTCAGAATTCTTTCAGTTTTAAGTCTTCATTTTCCCCCTCCTTCATGCTAGCCGAGGAATAGTCACCCCCCCTTCCTATGGGAAAATAACCTCTACAGCAGGTTTTTCCAAACTGTGAGCTTTGAGGAGATGCAGGCGGAGTCCAGGGAAGACTTTTAATAGATTTTTAAATATCTTTATTAAAAGAAATAGTTTTGTTATATGGTTTTCACTGTTCATTTATGTTCATTTTTAGGATTTTTAGTGGAGATCTGTACATTTAAGATTACAAATAAAGGGTTGTAACCATCTTGAGCAGTACCGACATTTTTTCTTTTCTCAAAATGTATCAGAAAGAGAATTGAATTTGTAAGAGTAAAACTTCTCACTCAAGTATATACGCATTTCTAATTTTGTAGCAGTTTGGCTATATGTGAGATGTTGTACAGTATTTTGTGGTTATTTATACACATTTGGACCTCAGTATGTTACTTTCTACTTTGAAGCAATGCAAGTTTCTCTTAGGGCCTTTCCCCACTGCAGAACCCACCAAGATCTGAACTAGGAACTGCACTGCATGTCCTTTGCTGTCCCCACTGATGGTTCCAATCTTGTCTCTTTTGCCTTTATTCTCAATCACTTCCTCCTGTCTAATTTCACTGCAACAGACTTAACAGATTTCCATACATCTTAAGGTTTGTTTTGGGTCTGTTGAAAAAGGGGAAGAATATTATTTTAATATGAGTATACAGGTAGTCCTTGACTTATGATCACAATTGAGCCCAAAATTTCCATTGCTAAGTGAGACATTGGTTAAGTGAATTTTGCCTCATTTTATGACCTTTCTTGCCATGGTTGTTACATAAATCACTGCAGTTGTTAAGTGAGAGATATGGTTATTAAGTGAATCTGGCTTCCCCATTGACTTTGCTTGTCAGAAGGTCGCAAAAGGTGATCACATGACACACACCCCAGACACTGCAGCTGTCATAAATAGGAAGCATCTGAATTTTTATCGTGTCCATGAGGATGCTACGACAGTCATAAGTGTGAAAAATGGTCATAAGTCACTTTTTTCAGTGCTGCTGTAACTTCACTAAATGAACTGTTGTAAGTCGAGGACTATCTGTATAATGTAGCTTCTGAAATGGAATTGACTGGATGATCAGAAATCATAAAATGATACAAAATTTAAATTGATCAAAGATGTGTCTTCGAGCGGTTTGCAAGGATAAAACCCCAATTCATTCTTCGTGCATTAGAAAATGGAGTACTATAAACACTTGGAAGGATTTCCAAACTATTGGATAAAGATTCTAATAGTTATGTTGTGTTTATATTTCATTTTCTGTACAGTTTTTTATGCTTGCTTATTTTTCATTGTAGAAATAAGATTAAACTATCAAGTCATCCAATCCTGGGTTCCATATCAGTTCTCTTTTGTTATCATCTGGGAACAGTTGTGAAAGGGTCCCTTATAATCCCAATAATGAGAGTCCCAAGGATTATTCTATTGTCTGTTTATAACATTCTGAAAAATAAGGTAGGCTCCTACTTTCGTTTTCTAACACCACAGCATAGCAATCGGGCAAATAACTGTAGAAATATAGTATCTAAGTAAGGAAATAAAATGCAGTCTTTATTTGCCTCATTTTATATTGGACTTTATTACTTAGCTTTATCTCAGCAGGCAACAGCTTAAAAAGCAATAAATTTCATTGTAACAGACTTACTTTGAAAAGGATGCATATCCTAATGATTTGCTCCTAATCTCTGATAGCTAGAAAAAAAAATACTGCAAAACTAACAAAGTTTGCTTAGGCTAAGGGACTAACTATCTTTGAGAGGAAGATGAAAATGTCTATTATGAGTGGGTCAGAAATGGAGGGTATGTGGATTGATGTTTCAACTTTTTTCTTGTAAAGTATCATGGAGAGTTGCCCCTTGAGTATTTAAAGTTCCAATGAGATACAATGAAAGAGATTTCTAGAACTTCATATATTAAAATGGAAGGCTGACAAGTACACAATGTTAAGTTTATATGCATAGACCAAGTTAACCGGAAGGTAGAAGGAAAATGTTCAGGCTTGCATCTTTCTCATTCATGTTGTTCTTAGCTATAATTTAGGTGTCAAGGAAAGACAAGTATGCTTTGATAATACTTCGCAAACTAATGGTATAGTTTTGATTGGGTGTATCTGCATGGCAAACCAAAACCACTTCTTCCCTTCATCATATTGATATTTTCCATAAGTGCATATGATGGAATTTAAAACAAGAACAAAAGGGAAGATTAGACATTTACTTTCCTTTCTTGGTAATTTTGGCCATAATCAGGACACTCTTTATCTATTTCTTAAGGTTTTAAAAAAAAAACTTAAGTGGGGAGAGCTGCTGAACAGAGCTCATGAAGTTTGCTCGGATGTCAGCCAGGAAGAAGTGGGCCAAGCAATGAATGGTTTACCTTTTATTAATTGGTGCTTTCCATGGATCTGGTTAGCCTGAATCCCAAATGAATGTGTTGCATGACCTTGGTCAATATTTCTTTGGGTTCATAACACTTCATAAATGAGTTACATATAAACTTGTTTAGTGATATAGTCCTTGACTTACAATTGGTTGCTTAGCAGCCATTCAAAGTTATCATGGACCCCAAAAAGGGGACTTAACACCCAGATCCGAACTTCTGATGGTGAGTTCCTGCCCCCGTTACATCCCCTCCCTCCCCTCCACTGCTGGTCATGTAACTGGAACACTTAGGCCGTTTGCAAAATCCTGGATAATGTTTATGACATTTTTGCTGAAAACCAGCAGTTCTGTTTTTTGATAGAACTAGTGAGCCATTGTTTATTTAATACCACAATATTCGTTTTATGACCCCTGCATTCACTTAACTGCTGCAAAAAATGTAAAATCGGGTTGATCACATGAATGACCTCTTTCACAATCATTACTTATGACCATAATGTGGTCATAACTCAAAGACTTCTTGTAGTGTTTTAGATACTGTATTCCTTTATTCTGGTTCACTAGCAAATGAGTGAAATATTTTTCAGAAGACCCAGAATTATTCACTATGTTACTTGAACTTTTCAAAGATCCCTTAAATGTATTTCAACAATAACTGTGAACTTGTACATTGCTGTATAGTATTCTATCATCAAACTTTTCTGATTATAATCAATGACATTCCCATTATTACTTCACTTCAACCTACTTTATTTAAACCTACTTTATTTGCCTGTATTTATCTTACTTCCTCAGGTAGAAGAAAGAAGCAATAAAATAAAAGAGACAAATGTTACAGAAGCACTTGTAGAAAGGAAAAGCAATGCAATGAACAGGACAAAAAGAAAGAATTTTCTCACTGAGAAAATTATAATATGCTGAGAAAAATATTATACTTCAAGGCTTATTGTTAATCTAAAAGACAGAAGTCTCTTTGGTATGGCTGCAACGTAGACACATATCTAGTTTAGGTAATTTACCATTGATAAGATGATGACTCCTTTGAGGGAGATGGACAGGAATAATAAATAAATAAATTTATGTCACAGAAATTTGACATTTGTCTCTGAAAATGGTCCTTTAATTAATTAATTACTGTCACAGAAATTTGAGACTTTTCTCTAAAAATGGTCCTGAAATAAGGAAAAATTACATTTGAAAATCCTAGGTATGTATTTCTGTGATTGAAAAATATCCTGTTTCTAAAATAAAATAAATACCAAAGCTGCTATCTATCACTGCAAGAGCTTTAATTCCAAGATGCCAAAGTCTTTTCAAGATACTTCATGAATCATGAAAATAATAAATGAATATGAATCTTGTATTCCGCACGTGGGAAGTAGGAAGTGTTAGAAAAATCTGAAAGATTTGCTTTTTAAATTCTGTCATCTTTGATGATTAATTACAACTTGTGCTTTTCCCCCCCAGGAGAACATGTGTGCAAGATGTATTTTCAAATGCTGCTTTTGCAGTTACTGGTGCCTAGAAAGATTTCTTGGATATTTAAACCAGGTACATTATATAAATTGGATAATATCACATGCAAAATAATGAAAGTCACATGAAAAAGAAATGCTTTGCTGATCAGTAATATTTCCAAGGCAGTTACTATCCCAGTTTTGTGACAACTAGCAAAGAACGATGATCTATATTTAAGAACCCTTTGCCCTTTTCATTCCAGCTGATTTTATAGAAAGCATGCAGGACTGTGCTATAAATCTTAGCCAAAATAAATCACATTGAGTTCAATAGGCCTATTCACTGATACATGGGGGGTAGAACAGCTTCTGTGATTTATAATGACCGATTTAACTAACACGACTAAACTAGAATGCATCTAAATCTGATTATTTCGTTCTGCCAGACATAAGCACCTAGAGAATTATAGTCCACAAAATGAGAATATAATCAGCTTCTGTAAAAATCTAAAAGGGAATTCCTTGGCTGGAATCAATGTTATTCATGGCATTATATCTATAATACCCTGAGCTGTTGTAATCTGGGAATATATATTATTCCATACATTTTTGCCAGGTGTGTTTCCCCAGAATTATTTTAGACTTTGGTGGAATGCGCATTAGTATATAATTACTGCTTTGAGTCCTGATTTTTACAAGTGGGCACATTGGTTTGCTGCAAGTCTTTCTCTTACTTCGACTAAAGATTGCTGCTTGCCATTCCTTAATATATAGGAAACATTTTCATGTTGCTTTTTCTGGTGGGAAAGAAATTAAAATCAGTGAGACAGTATGTGCAATATTTGTGTTAGCGAAACATTATTTCCTTGTCTAATGCAATAAGAAAAATAGGACAGATGACAATAGAATAGAATAGAATTCTTTACTGACCAAGTGTGGTTGGACACACAAAGAATTTGTCTTTGGTGCTCTCAGTGTACATAAAGAAAAAAATAAAATACATTCATCAAGAATCATAAGATACAACACTTAGTAATAGTCACTAAAGTTACTAATAAGCAATCAAATCATACTAGAAACTGAAACAATATAAATTGTAAAGATACAAACAACATGGTTATATTCATAAATGGGAAGATATAGGTACTAGGAAGGATGAGAAGAATAATACAGTCTTGGTAAATAATTTGACAGCGTTGTGGGAATTAGTTGTTTAGCAGAGTGATGGCATTCGGGGGAAAACTCCTTGTGTCTAGTTGTTCTGGTGTGCAGTGCCTTATAGCATTGTTTTTTGGGTAGAAGTTGAAACAATTTATGTCCAGGATGTGAGGGGTCTGTAGATATTTTCACAGCCCTTTTTTTGACTTGTGCAGTATACAGGTCCTCGATTGAAGGCAGGTTGATAGCAATTGTTTTTTCTGCAGTTCTAATTAGCAGTTGTGTCTGGCTTGTTTGGTTGCAGAGCCAAACCAGACAGTTATAGAGATGCAGATGACAGACTCAATAATTCCTCTGTGGAACTGAATCATCAGCTCCTTGGGCAGTTTGAGCTGTCTGAGTTGGTGCAGAAAGAACATTCTTTGTTGTGCTTTTTTGATAACGTTTTTCATGTTAGGTGTCCATTTTAAGTCTTGAGATATGATAGAACCTAGAAGTTCTCTACTGTTGATTCTGTGTTGTCTAGTATTGTAAGACGTGGTAGTATAGGAGGGTTTCTTCTAAAATCTACCACCATTTCTATGGTTTTGAGTGTATTTAATTCAAGATTGTTCTGGTTGCACCACAAGGCTACTTGTTCAACCTCCCTTCTGTATGCAGATTCATGGTTTTTGCTGCCGACATTAGCAGCAAATAACACTTAGTTTACAGATCCTGCATTGTTTACTATTCGTTTTCTGGGTACATTTTAAGGTGCTGATTTTAACCTATTAATCCCTTTATGGCTGAGACCATGGATATTTGCAAGACTACCTACTCTAAACAGTACCAGCCCAATGAGTTAGATGATTTAATCTGTTTTCTGAATTTCCTGTGGTTGCTGAAAAATTTAGAATTTGCAGAACAGGTACTGAAGCTGGAAGACATCAAAGAAGGCACCAGGAGTGCCATAAACTGAATCCTATTTAATAAAACTTTTCCCGATAATTACTGCGCCAGGTTTCCTTTCAAATCCCAATCTGGTGAATCCAAGCAGTAGGGACTGTCTCTGGAATTTGAATCACAAAGGGGATATTTTAATTAGGCATATTTTAATTTATAGCCCTTCCGTCTGCCCCTGGTATTGCTTAGTTTGGGCATCAGCAAGGGAAGATTACATATTAATGATAAGTAAATGTCTGGAAGATATCGGAGGCCTGCTAAGACAAAAGAGGAAAATAATTATCAATTTAAGGTTAGAGCAGAAATGTGTTACCTGGTAGGTCATGCATAACTTTGTCCTACTTCTGTTTTAGAGATACAATTGTTTTATTCTCTCTTAATTTGAGGGGTTTCTTAGTGATAATGCTTAAAGTCAATCTAACAATTTCTGAGTACTTTGGGGAGCTGTATTGACTGGTATTCTTTCTAGTGTCCAGTGTCATACACTCTAAATATCTCTACTTTCTGGCATATCTACAAACTCCAGGGAAGGAACATTTAAAAGAAGCCACATTATGCAATTAAGAACTGGCCATAGGGCTTTATATGTTCACATTGTATGCAGGGGACAAAACAAATAATCCTGCTATTTCAAAGCCATTTTGTTCCCTACGCATGTCTGAAAGAGGCTGTGTTGTTATCCCATTAATATTTTCCTTTACTGCTATAAAAAATACTTCCTTCTGTAGCTTCCATCTGTCACAGTCTCTGGATCATTACTTTTTCATTTTGCTACACCATTAGGTCTCTGGGAGAGCTCTTTACATAGTAGGAGATGGCCAACCACTCTAAAAATGCAGGCAGGCTGTGGATTGGAAGCTGGGCATGGTTGCATCTGTTGCTGTGGTGCTGTCCCTTTCACTGGGATAATTTTTAGAATCTTAGAATGGAAGATAGAATTTGGCTGTGACGCAAAGTAGCAATTATTTTTCACCAGAAGGGTTTTTTTTAAGTTGTTGAATCTGTGCCATGTAGCGTTTCTCATGAAGCTATCAGGTCAGTTTTTCCAAGACCTTTGGCATTCTGTCTATGTTGGGAAGTGTATTTTTTCTTAAACATTTTCTTCGCCTACTTAATTTGAAGTATGTAAACAAACCCATTCATTATTTATCTGTTTCTTTGGTTCCCATGCATATTAATGCAAGAAATCCAGAGTAATTTACTCTGAAATCCAGAGTAAATATAAACGGTCAGTATCTGAAGCTTACTTTTTTGTTATGTTCCCTTAAGATATTTAGTTTATGATACATAAATTAAAGCAAGATTTAAATTTTAACAAAATGCCCTTAACTTAGTCAATTATTGGGAGAATCAATGTTACTTTCAGAGTTTATCTTGACTGCTGCTTCAGTTTACAAAAGATTGTACTTAAGTATTAGAGTATTGTAATTATTACTAGATAAGCTTTTTAGAGTTCAAGGATTTGTATGCTAGGATTTTTTTTTTTGCCTTGTCTTGACTTCAGATTATGCACACCTGGAATCTGTCCCCCACCCACCCTGGGAGCTTGAATTAGGATTCAGAAAGCAATTCAAGAGAAAAAAAAATTGGTTTAAATGGAAAAGAGGTCCCTTCTTTGCTGTTTCGTTCTCTGCCCTATTCAATAATGTTCAGGATGTTCTCGGTCCTTGGGAGTAAATTGCAAGTGGTTGTATTAGGAAGAAGTCAAAACCCCCACAAATTTCTTTTTAGAAAATTCTTCCCATGAGGAAAGATGTTGAATAATATCTATTAAAGCTGCATGATTCTTTAGAAGTACTAAAATAATTAAGCTGAGGCTTGAGCTAATTAATAGCACAATATTTTAGATGGTGGGGATTGGTTTGTTTTATTGTTGATATGTTATTGTGTGTATCCTATGTTCAGGAAGTCACTGTCATATTACCAACCCCATGGCAGCATAAATACTATGTAGAAATTTCATGGATTACAACTGATTTCATGTATGTGTGTTTTACACTGTTTTATTTTAGTATGATTTATTACAGACATGTGGATTTATATTTCTGTATTAATATTTCCCAACTCTCTTATGAAAATAAATCATTGTGTACATTGACTTAATTTTCATAGGTTCCAAAGGACTAAACACAGGGAAAAAAGTAGAAACAGAATATTAATCTTAGGTTGTTGAAGGATGTATTTAAACAGATGCTGAGAGTATTTTCAGTCCGATTCATGTCCACAGTCAGAATTTTAATTCCACATTGAGCATTAGAAGACTACACATTTCTTTTTAAGAATAACTTTTTCTTTTTAAGAATAATTTTACAGACTTGTGTACTTATTAAATATATGAGTATTAAAATTCTTTTTTTAAAGAGGACAAGAATGGCTCATTTTTCACTACATAAAATAAGGATGTTTATAGCTTATTGGGAAAAGTAATTGTAGATTTTTGGATATTCTTATTTATATGCTTAAATTAGTTTGGTTCTTGAGGAATGAAGCTTATTTATCTCCACAGTTCTAAATCAGTGGAACAACTTGCATCCAGAAGTTGTAAATGCTCCAGCACTGGAAGTTTTTAAGACATTGGATAACCATTTGTCTGAAATGCTATAGGGTTTTCTGCCTAAGCAGGGGGTTGGACTAGAAGACCTCCAAGGTCCCTTCCAATTCTGTTATTCTATTCTGTTCTGTTCTGTTCTGTTCTATTCTGAATAAACTAGTGAAAAGATTGTCCTCATATTAAAACTTGAATGATATATAGATTTTTCAGTTAGCCCTTTTAGCAGCCCAACACAATAAAATAATTCTTAATGGGAGTACCCTAGGTGATCTAGCCGGTGAGTTTACTTTTAGTTCCTCACGTGGGAGTAGTGTTACTGATTTTGTGCTGGTATCCCAGCTTCTTAGAAAGGCAGTCCGTGCTTTTTATGCGGACTGCCTTATGGAGAGCGAGCACTACCCCCTGATTACAATCATTGGGCTTTCCTCAAATATACATCTCCCTAGGGGTCCCCAGATATTAGATCCCTATGTGGCCTCATATACAAGGAGGATCAAATGGTCTTCTAATACTGAAAGAAAGTTCCACTCCTTTTTATCATCTCCGGAGTGTCTCAGCCTATACAATCAGGCCCTAACAAGTAGTGGCCCAGGGACAATCTTGGCCTTTGAATCACTAATTAATAGTGTTCAAAGGGAGCTAGGAGCTGTCCATAGGCCGAGAGGTACATATCATTCAAGAAGTAATTCTTGGTTTGACAAAGAGTGTCTGATGCTCAGGAACCAGATTAATTGGGTTTACCTGCTCTATCGTAATCGAGGGGATAAATGCCCACCAGAGGACTACTATCACTTGAAGTGGGAGTATAAAGGACTAATAGCTAAGAAAAAGAAAGCTAAAGAGAGAGAGAAGTGGGATCTACTTCTCCTCTCCATCCAGGAGAAGAACACTCAATTATTTTGGCAAATTGTTGCCAGTTCCTTGCCAGATCATCAAGAACTCCCTCTCTGCTGTATTTCCAACAGAGATTGGTAAAACCATTTCTTGGCAATTTTCCAGGCGTCAACAAGTTCGACCGTGCTTGGACCACAGCTGCCTCCTGCAGTTCCTGACTGGCAACTTGTGACTCTTGCTGAGATCACTGAGCTTATCTCTGAACTCAAGTCAGGCAAAGCCCCTGAACCTGATGCTATACCCCCTGATCTGCTAAAATCCAATCCCGAGTGGTGGATTCCTCTCTTAGCAAGACTCTTCACGCATATCAATACAGGATCTGGCAGGATCCCTACCTCCTCCTGGAGCTTAGCAATTATTGTTCCAGTTTTTAAACAAGGAAATAGGAACAATCCAGCCGACTATTGCCCCATAAGCCTGCTCTCTATCATTGGAAAATGGTATGCTAAATATCTCCAATGTAGACTCCTCACTTGGGTTGAGGAGTCCAATATTATTGGTGCTGAACAGATTGGTTTTAAAGCGGGCTGTACCACACTGGACGACTGCTTTGCCTTAGCGCACTTGGTCAATAAATATACTACCATACCAGGTGGCAAACTTTTTACTGCTTTTATCGACCTAAAGTCAGCGTTTGACTCAGTCCCTAGGGGACTGTTTTGGTCAAAACTGCTCAAAAATTCTATCGCTAGACGTCTTCTGTTCCTAATTAGATCCTTGTACAACCAGACCTCTAGTCAGGTCAGGTGTGGTTTGCAGGGAGAATTTTCAAATCCTATCCCGATTAAGAACGGAGTAAGGCAGGATTGTGTTCTAGCTCCTCTTTTGTTTAATTTATTCTTATCTGACTTGGCCTTTCACATTGGACGTATTGAGTCCCACGCCCCAAAGCTGTCAACTACAAAGATCCCACTTCTCCTTTATGCTGACGATGCGGCCCTCCTTTCATTGTCAAGACCAGGTCTGAAAAGATTACTTTCTGCATTTGGGTCTTACTGTGCTCAGAACCACTTGTCTATTAATTATGACAAAGCCAAAGTATTGGTGTTCTCTAGAGCCCGGAAATTGTATAACTGGGCTATCAATGGTAGTACTGTTACGCAGGTTTTCCATTTTAAGTATTTAGGTCAGGTACACCTGACCTGACTTAGGTATTCAATTTCAGAACACTGGTGCTTGGACTAGACATCGAACCCAGGTACTGAATTCAGCCTCCTGTAGTCCTCATAAGATTTTAAGATTTTTTTATACCCAAGGAGGCCAGTTTATTCCTTCTGCTCTGTGTATTTACAAAGCCAAAACTTTGGCTCAAACTCTTTACAGAATTCCCATATCGATACGGGGCTTCAAGGATTGTACTGAAAGAAACCAGGCTGTCTTTCTTAGAAAACCTCTGGGTCTTCCTCCTTGTGTTGGTTTTGCTCCGATATACTTGGAACTGGTACTCGATCAGTCGAATGTATGGCGTGGATTAACACCTTTAAATGATGGTTTCGGGTGCTCTTTCTGGCAGTTCCTGGTAGCTATCTCTCCCTGGCGTTTGCTGAAGACTCTCATATTTCTTGTTGGGAGAGGGAGCTGATGAAGAAATTACACCTGATAGGTTTTACGGGGGATGCCCTGGGAGATTATGGCCTTAAGGATGCCCAATTTAAGGTAGTCCAATGGCTTGTGGACATTGACTTGCAATATCTATGAGCCAGAGCTAACAAAACTTGCTCCCCTCTGATCTTCAGCCAATTTAATAATTACGGACTGAGGATGGCTTCCTATTTTTACACTCTAATCATTTCCAAGTATAGAAGAGTGTTCTCCCTAGCTCTCTTTAACGTCTTGCCCTCAGCACTACTGAATGGGCAATTTAAGAGGCTCCCCATTAATGAGCGGCTATGCCCCTGTGACAGAGCTGAGGTTGAAACTGTGGAGCATGTCCTTTTATATTGCCCTATGTATAATGCAGGCAGATCTAAGTTACTGTCTCTCCTTGAAACAGACCCTTCTAGACCCAATGTTAGTAAATTGTTCTTATATTGTCTAGGGGATGGCTTCTCATATATCACTTCTCAGGTTTCCAAATTTTTCTTAAGTGCTGTAACCATCAGAGGAGAATGCTGTAATTCCCCTTAGTCAAGTTTTTGGTGACCAATTGCTCATGATTAATTTTCCCATGTTCTTCTTTTGTTGTACTTGTGTTTTGGTCTGTGACCGCAAATAAAGTTTTATTATTATATAAGTTTTGACAATGAGATTAAAAGTTATGCAAGTAATTTCATTTCCCCAGTATGATAAAATATAGATATTTATAAAAATAACTTTGGCCAAGTACTTCCTATTTTCTGTTGTTACTTCTGCTATTTTACCAATTAACGTTCTGATTGCAGAATGCATATGCGGCAACTATCATAAATGGGACAAATTTTTGTACTTCGGCTAAAGATGCCAGTGTTATTTTATCAAAAAATGTAACTAGCACCATGGCAATCAACTGCTTCAGTGATTTTGCTGTCTTTCTTGCAAAGGTAAAACTTTATTAACTTTTTTTTCCTCATTGAAAACCTTGTTTAGTCCATGATGCAGGGGTAAATTCAGTCAGATTCAAGGGTAAATTCAAATTTTATGGAAATTAAATTGTTCTCTGGAAGCAAGTAAAATATATATGATATCCATGTCCATATTAAGGACTTGATCACTGAGCAAGCACAAAAGTATTGCTTGGGCTGTTAAGTACAGTGTCCATTGGGGTGTTATGTCAGTCTTGGATCCTCCTATTGGCAAAACCCCTTCGTAATTTTTTTATTCATCTGATCGTAGTATATGTTTGTAGCCAGATTAAACCTACAGTTGGTACATACATATGCTGATTGGCATTGTGATGACCCGGGGCATGACACAACAATAACAAAGGCACAAAAGTAGATAAATTCCCTTTAACACCTCCAACGTGGCCCCCAATGTCTAGTTATCCTCGGCTGAAGATCAAACTCTTCCAAAAACAGTCTACAAAGGGAAGAAGTGCAGTCCAAACCCAAAGTACAGATAAATTAGAAATAAAAAAAGCAACACAAACCATGCTGAAGTAATTAACACAACAGGCCAGGATAATAAATTGCAGACTTCCAAAAGATAACGAAGCACACACAGTTGGGGAGGATAGCAAAACCCAGACAAGCCTCAATAAAGTTAATGCATGCTTTGCTTCCAGCAAGGTGCTGTGTGCAAACGCCCTTCTTATATCCTGTTCTCCCAGCTGCAACTAATGAAAGGGACCAGGGCCTTTTTCTCTCCCGTAAGCCACATTGCTCCCTTCTCTGTTCTTCCCTGCATGCCCTAGGATGAAGAGTGGGTGGCCCTGGGTCTTCCTCTGAATGCCCAGCCGGACTGTGCCCTTCCCCTGTTTCTTCCACAGCCACCAGAGCCACACTCCCACTCCCTGTCAGCTGCTCAATCTCCCCCTCAGAATCAGACTCCAACAAGGGCATGACAGGCATCCAGTGTGGTCTTAACAGTAGTTCCTGCACCACAGTGTAGCCGCTTCCATCACAATGAAAATCTGAGAATTTAGGGTTGGGGGGGAGTTCAAAGAAGATAAACCAATTGTTCAAATGATGGGAAGAAGAGATGCCTCTTCATGGGAGACCTAAATTCATTCATAAATAAAACAATGAAGATATTTCTTCAGTTAAATTAAAGCAAGATATGGCAGAAATGAAAGTCCAAACAAAAGTGAAGAAAATAGTCAAGCAATATTTGTCGAAACAACCTGGAAAGTTTAGGTGAAAATGTCCCAGCAGATTTTTGAAAACAGTCATAATCTTTATACTAATTTTATTTACTTATTTATTTAAATTTCTGTCGTCCATCTCACTATCCAAGCAACACTAATAATAAGCATTTACATACAGTTGGTACCTTCTTTAGATGAGTTACCTTTTAAAATATATCTAATTTTATCCTAATATAGATGTTCGTAGCATGTTTCACCGTTTTTGGGGGCTTGATGGCATTTAACTACCACCAGGAATTAAAAGTTTGGGCCTTGCCACTGCTGCTGGTTGCCGTTTTCGCTTATTTCATTGCCCATAACTTCTTATCAGTATTTCAGACTACAGTGGATGTTCTTTTCCTTTGCTTTGCTGTTGATGTAGAAACAAATGATGGCTCTTCAGATAAACCATACCTAATGGATCAAGATTTAATGGTAAGCACTCCCAAAAGCAGCTTATAATGTCTTAATTTTTTAAAATGAGGTAGTTATGTCAAAAGTTGATAGTAAACATTTTTAGAAAACACCTGTATTCTTATCTAGTTTAGGATTCTATTTTCCAATTTAAAGTTGGTGGCAAATATATTGTGAAACTTTTTCCATTTTCTAGTAGGAGCTTCTATTAGAATGTATTCTAGATTTTAAGAATTTCCTAGATGCTTCAATGACCATCATAGATTTTTCCTGATGATGTCGAAGTCTATATAGACTAGGCATTTAATGTGATTTTCTAAACGTATCTGTTTAAACTTTGCAAGATAATAATTGCAGTGCTAAATAGCATTAATTACACATAACTCCCATTTAACTGGGGAGGGGGGGGTTGTTTTAAATATGCTTAAGATTTCTTATTTAAAACCCTGCCCTAAGCTAGACTTATAGATTCATTTGCTCAGAATCATTCTACCTAGAACTGTGGCTTAATTACATATTTCTAAATTGATAGAAAGTTATCTTAGTTTTAAATTTGTGCAACAAAATATGTCATATGCAGTTGTTTTGTAGGACAAATAAAACAGCATTTTATAGGAAATTAATTGAGTTACTGTTTTTATTTTATATATTCCTTTTTTACCCATCAAGAATATATAATTTAATTTACAACAGGATATATGTTTCATCCCGGAATACAAAGAACTTTTGATTAAAATGTAGTAGTATTATAATGTTAATACTGGCTTGATAATCTATTGATTTGAGCTTGCTCAAATGATAATAGTATTAAATATAATAAGTTTGGGTAATGTATTGCTATTATTTGCAGAACTTTGTCTATCAGAACAGCAAGCTTGCAAAGACCAAAGAAAGAAATAGAAGAATATTTTATAACAATGAAAACAGCATTGAATTGCAGCTTATGGTAAGAGACAAACCAATTCTAAACGTCAGTAGGAACTGCTGACTGCCCTGAGTTGCAGTGTTCTATTGTAGTTAAAACATTTCATAACAGAAATCCCTCAATCAAATGTGAGTCAGTAGCAGAGAGGAGGAGGGAGTTACCTGTTCTTGTTCAGGTATCCCTCATCTTAACAACAGTTCATTTAGTGACCATTCAAAGTTATAACAGCACAGAAACTTATGACCATTTTTCACACTTATGACTGCTGCAGTTATCCCTATGGCCATACATTTGGATGCTTAACAGCTGACTCACATTTATGATGGTTGCAGTGTCCTGGAATTATGTGACCCACCTTTTGTAACCTTCTAACAAGCAAAGTCAACAGGGAAAACAGATTCACTTAATAGAATTCCTTGATTTCTGGGGGTTTGGAAAGTTGTTTCTTGGAAAGTTATAAGAGATATATTACTACAAGAAGGCACAAAATAATAAGTTTCCAGTAGTATCACGTTGTTAAAATTAACACTGCTATGATCACTGCATTGCTGGCTGCATTAATCTTTTCCCAAGTATCATAAAGTCCACTTCAAATACATAATTTCACTGTAAAATAGTAACATAATCTTTAAAATAACATCTGTGCAGCATTATTTTATTTTATTTTTTGCATTTGAGCAAAACAAGTCATTGTGATGCTTCCAAAGTATCATTTTGCTGTCAGGGGATTTCCAGTAGCAGCCATCATTTTTCTGCCAAAATTATTCATGCCAGAAAAGGAAATCTGCACATAGGGGTCATATTTCTGGATTATTATTTTGTTATATTTTTTTTGTTCATGCTGCACATCTGGAGGGCTTAGGTCCTTGTGCCTTTTTTAGAAGTTTGGAAATAGTATACTGTAGGGTTGTGCTGCCGAGAATCTGTGGTTTTCAGTTGATTAGGTTTATGTATGTCTCAGCTTGGTTTATTTCATCATATGCATCTCCGTGCATTTCTGCCTCCACCCAAGAAAAATCTTGAAAAAGTTAAATATGCAATGACAGAATGCAAAAAATATTGTTATACTAAACTTTTTTTCCTGTTATTTACAGACACTTATGTTATTATGGCTAATTTCATATTTTATTTTCTTTACTGTAGAGCTGAAATTGAGATGGCTTTAAAACTACATGCAGCAAAGATAAGATGAAGATCAGAGAAAAACAATTCCCGGAATTGATTTGTATATTTTGCACTGAAAGAGATGATTTGGTCTACTTTTACTTTGTGAAAAAATGTCTTCAGCTTTTGATTTTGTTAAGAATTTATTTAAGATATTTTATTAAAGTATATTAATGATCAACTATGGCATCAGTTTAATGGTTTCATTTAGATTTTAGGTATCACTTCTTAACCATATTGCCAAAATGACTATCCATTTGTTCCAGTGTCACAAGTTCCACCCTCTCTTATTTCTGTTGAAATGTTGCATCCAAGTGCATAAGAGGAATGGATTGTGTTGCTACACAAGTTCTGCAGTTTTCTTAGACATAATGACACAGCAACCATTTTATTTTGCTAAAGAATGCACTGGAAGATCAAGATTTTTTTTTTTAAGATGACCATATAGGGTTTTTCTTTGCTGCTCAGTAGGAACCCTGGTTTTATTTTCAGACATCCCAAAAATGAAAACAAGGGATAATTCAGGTTTTTAATGTTAAAAACCAAGAATGTGTTGTACCTGCCCAGAATCATTTGTTTGGTGAGATGGGAGGATATATAAATAGGGCAAATTTAATTAAATTTGAGAACCTATGGAAAACTGAATCACCATGCTATAGATTTTGTCAACAAAGAAAGAGTGCATGGGGAGGATCATGTTTCATATTACAAAAGTAATGTGTTTACACATATTTCTTTTTTCTGAGTATTTAGATGTTAGCTGTTGTACAGGAAGTCCTTGACTTATGACCGGTCACTTAGCGACTGTTCAAAGTTACGAGAGACCTGTCCAGGACTACTTACAAGCTGGTTCCAAAGTTCTGATGAATATACCCCCCCGTCAGGTGACTGCATGTCATGCAGTCAGCAACTGGCCCGTGTTTGTTTTTGCTGAAACCATTATTACTTTTGGTTTTGGACAAAAATGGCCAATAGGGAACAGTGCGATAAATAGCAGGCTCCATTGTGGTTGTAAGTTGAGGACTTCCTGTACTTCACTATTAATTTCAGCTTAATCAAATCCTAATTTTCAAGGTTATGAGAGTGACACAATATGTTTCTTATTTGTAACTATGCAGAACAGAGCATGAGTAATCCAGCTCTCTATATGGATCAAGAATAAACAGCCTTTCTTATGTTTCTAAGGATCATAAGAAGTATCTTGAGACAGCAACATCTTTTGAGAGTATGGAATTTTCAAGCCTTTAGCTACATACAAGCTTAAAAAACTAAGAAACAAGTAGTACAAAAATCAGATGATTTGGTGCTGAATATCTGTGGCAATGTTCTTACAAAGCTCTAGCAACAGCAAAAAATGGTGGGATATGTGGTTGGTAAGACCCCTTGAGTTGTCCACCTCAAATATGTACAGTATTTACAATTACTTGGATTCTAAAGTTGGACTTGGGGGGGGGGGGAATGTCCTTGTCAAAACTTGTTATATAACCAGTAGAATCAAGATGATTGTGCAATCCTTTCTTAAGTCTCCATCCAATGAAAAGGAATGTGTTCTAAGACACTGCAGAAGCACCAGAAACTGCTGAATAGCAACAAATATTGTACATATGTATATCTTCTGAGAATACATTGAAGACACTGGGAATGCCTAGGGTAGGGTTGCCTGTATATTGTAAAAATACTTTTAATAAAATAAATGGAAAACTGGTATGATGCCAAGGATGTTTTTTTACCGGAATGTCTATGGGACCTTTGGTGACCCCAAAGTTATTTACAGAAAATAAAGGATGGATGACTGAAGTTCTCTGAAATAAATCCTTGGGTTAGCAGATTTCAGATATTATGAAAGCATTGTCTGTTACATAAAAGTTTTAGTACAAGTGATGCTATTTACCTCAGCCCCATACTTAGGCAAATGACATAAATTGAAGAAAATAACAAAGTTAGATTTAACACACCGTTATGTTATTTTTTGCACTATAAGACGCTCCAGAATTTAAGACATATCTAGCTTTTGTGGAGAAAAACAAGGAAAAAAAATCTGCCTCTGCCTCCCAGCATCCATCCGGTATTCATCTGGCTATCATCCTTGCAGCAAGCAGCCTGGTCAGCTTTAGCATATTATTGCAGCCCCAGCATGTGGCTCATCAGGGTTGCGCTCCATTGCACCCGCCACCTGTTAACTGAGCTGAGCTGCCCCGGTGGTGGGGAACACGAGCCTTCGCTGCCGAACAGCTGATTCGCAGTCGGATCAGGCTCCTGGAATACTGATTGGTGGCGGCGATTGGCCGCAGTGGTAATCTCTGCTGCCTAGAACAGCTGATCAGCGGTATTCCAGGAGGCCTATCCAACCGCCAATCAGCTGCTTGGCAGCGAAGGCTCCAGCATTCCCCAGCGGTGGCAAACAGCAGCAGCAGTGACAGGAAATGGTGGTGATCCCCCCTCCCCCGCCGCACTCTAACCCTTAGACATTTCCACCCACTTTGGGCTGAGAGTGCATCTTACAGTGAAAAATACGGTAATTTAGTCTTCCTGTGACTTGTTCATTATGCTGAAGTTTTACTATATTTAGAAGTGTATCTGACAACCAGTAGGAAGGAGTGTGTTAAACTGAACAAAAATGCAATCTGTTGGCTTTTAATAAACTGGTAATTTCTGACACACACCCGGCAGCCATTTTGTGAGGGTCCCACAAGTATGCTTTCATAAATCCAATCCTTTCCCAACAGATTGACAATTTTCCCCCTTTGGGCAATCTGATAAATAAAATGATACACATTATAAAGTCTGAAGAGAATTGATAGAATTTTCTTGAAATTCTGTAAGAAAGATGTGTTTATAGGTCTGTGTGAGTCAAATCTAATTTGTTTTCAGAAAAGATACTTGTTTACCCACAAAATACCTTCAGATGAAATTGGAAGACCCTGCTTTATTTGGAATGCCCAGGGTATCAAAATTGCAGCCCCTTAAAAGTACTTCATGTAGAAATTCTGGGATATTAGTTTCAAATTTTCAATATAACGGGCAAGCTAAAAATCACCAATAGAATCCAATAAATGTGTCTTCTTCTATTGAACCCAAAGAATGGTTGCTAGAGTGGAGAAATCCTTTGGCAACAATAGAAAATGGCAGTGTGTCCTTTACATCCAATCTTGGTAGAAAAGCTATTTTTTTTAACAAGTATTTTAACTAGGGTAGTAGTTGATTGACATCTTAATTAGCAGCAATGTTAGTTAAATAGACTCCTATTTCACTGTTGCACTTCTAACAACATAGAATTTCAGCTTTTCTAGTCTTTATGTTGAACGTCTGTTACTGTAGGCAGTTGCCTTCTATTACTTTGCTATAATTTTACCTCTTGATTTTGAAGTTGCTTGGCTCGATCTGGCTCCTTGATAACTTCTGTAACTAGCATTTATTTTTTTAATAATACATGTTCTTCTAAGTCTTCAAGAAAACAACATTTATTTATAAAAAATACAACAAGATCAGTTGATGATGAGAAATGTGGCAATAAATACAATTCAAAGAAAAGGCAATTCTACATGGATATATTATGGCACAGAAAATAAAGTCAATGACCTTCAAAATGTAGATTTTTGTGGGCTCAGAACTTAATACTAGTTCCTTTCTAAAAAAGAAAGCTTTTCCTAGAATTTTGGTGAATTTAGACATTGTGATGAAACATACACAATCACAAATGCACATTTATTATTTCTACTATGACTTCAGGAGATAAGCAAGCAAGTACAAAACCAACATTTTTAACTATTAACTATAACCTTTATTTTGATGGCATGGTCCAGAATTAACTTTATGAATAAAGGCATCTACAGTCTTCCACAGAATGGAGCTGCAAATAAAAAAAAGTTTAAAAACTTGGAATAGTATGTAAAATGCCTATTTCAGAACAAGATTGTAAAAAAAAATGCATAGTTCCTTATTATTAAAAGACTTGGCTGTATATGAGAAGTTCCCTTTCACAGTATTCCTTTTTACTTCATATGCTGTTATTGGTTATGCTGTAGACTGCAAATGTTACAGCATTAAAGGCAACTAGAGAAGAAAAGGGCAAAGAAAGGAAAAAGGAATGTTATTATGTAAGGCAATATTTCCTTAAGTACATGAAGCATAATGTGTAAAGGATGGGTAACAATTCCACAAGGCTAGTTTCGTTTTTCTTGAATAAAATAATAAACTAATACTGAGCTTTTGAGGCAAATCTAGTAATCAATGCCATGGTCACTGTATTGACCGTGGTAATCTCTCTGATATTCATCTTGGTATTCCCCGTGATAGTCATCTGGATATTCTGCCTGATAATCACTATCACTGATTTCTGATCCATTAGTTCCTGTTCCTTGGCTTCCATTATGAATGACAGGTTCTGTTGGTGCAGCACAATACTTAGGGTCATACACTTGCCGTCCAAGCCCGTATACACTCATCCCCTTCTGTGAAGCCACTTTGTTGGTGCCCATTTGTAGTGAAATTGTAGTGTTATCAATGGGCTGTAATGTAACCTTCTGGTCATAGATGTCTCGCCTTGTTCCTGGTGCAGGCATCCCTGCCTAAAAAACAAACAAAAAATATTTCCGGGATTATAGTAACTGCTAGTACATGGGACGGTCCACTTAAGGTTGATTCAAATTAATGATGGCCCCAGAAAGGGAGTTTTATAGGCTTCTCTAACAAAATTGCAAAACGTTGCACCGCACCTCTTTCCTGGTCACGTGATCACAATCTAAATGCCTGGCAACCTGTTGGCCCTTCTGATTGGTTGCCAAGCACACTGTGATCATATGATCATTGTTTTCAAACTTCATTGCAAGCTAAGCTGCTGCCATCTACCACGAGGACTCCCTCTTGTCTCTGGGGGCTGGTTGAAAACCTCCACACCAAATCCAAGCAGCCACAGAGCTGAAATCCTACAGGGTGCTCTTTCAGCCAGCCCACAGAGAGAAAAGCAAGATTTTTAGTCCCCGAGTAGAGAGACAACATATTAAGGTAAGGAGTGAGGGGTGCTTCTGGGTGGGGGGAAGCCCAGCCCAGGACATGTGTAAATCTCTACATTTGGGCTGAAAATCTTGCTTGGTTGGTGAGGAGGAT